TGGGAAAAGGGCTAGTTAATCACTACTCCTGGAGACCCCAACCCAACTTCTCCTTATCTGCTCATCTAGCCAAATGGTATAAATTAAGCATGGGGCAGAACCAGCAGAAAAACTCCAGTAACATGAATAACCAGAGATCAATCTCTCTCAAGGAAGGATATGGCACATGTAACTGAAGATCCCATCCATAAACAGATGGCTAAGGTGTCAGAAATCGATATCAGAGTCTGGATAGTAAATAAGATCAACAGAATGAAGGAAAGGAGAAAAATCAGAATTTCAAGGAATTATTCAAAAGATATCTCAAGAATTCAATTTCAAAGAAAAAATGACCAAATATTTTGACACATTGAGGCAAGAGTTTGCAGCCCTCAAAAATATGAAAAATATGGTAGAATTCCTCGCTAACAGAATGAAGCAGGTAGAAGAAAGGATCTCTGACACTGAAGACAAAGCTTTTGAATGCGCCCAAGCTCTCCCAGAGGAAGAGAAATGGCAAGCAAAAACGGATCATTCTCTCAGAGAGCTCTGGGATAATTTGAAGAAAACTAATATTCACCTTATAGGAATCCCTGAGGGCGACGAATTTGCTTCACAAAACACAGGGGCCCTTCTTCATGAAATTGTGAAAGTGAACTTTCTAGATATGCCAAGAGATTCTGAAATTCAGATAGCAGACAGTTTCAGAACCCCAGAACATCTCAACCCAAATAAGACATCCCCCAGGCACATCATAATTAATTGCACTAAAGTTAATATGAAAGAGAAAATTCTAAAATCTGCCAGATGTAAGAAAACCATAACCTACAATGGGAATAATATTAAAATAACTGCAGATCTCTCTGCTGAAACCTTTCAGGCTAGAAGAGGGTGGTCATTGACTTTTAATCTCCTAAAACAAAACAACTTGCAACCCAGGATCCTGTATCCAGCTAAACTGAGTTTCATTTATGATAGAGAAATAATCCTTTAATGACATTCACATGTTGAAGAAATTTGCCATAACTCCAGGATATTCTCAGACCTGTCCTCCATAATAACCAATGTAATCCTCAACCACAAAAGTAAACGCAGTCAAAAACTTTTGATCAAATTCCAATTTACATAGTGGCAAAAGGACTAAAAATGACCACTGGACATTGGAAAAACTTGACACCCAAAATTTTACCAGGATTATCAATAATCTCAATTAATGTGAATGGCTTAAATTTTCCCCTAAAGAGGCACAGGTTGACTGACTGAACACAAAAACTCAGGCCAGATATATGCTGCATACAAGAATCTCATCTTACCTTAAAAGATAAATAGAGACTCAGGATGAAGGGATGGTCATCTATTTTCCAGGCAAATGGAAAGCAGAATAAAGCAGGTGTTGCAATTTTATTTACAGATACAATAGGCTTTAAACCAACAAAAGTAAGCAAGTATAAGGATGGTCAATTTATATTTGATAAGGGTAATACTCAATATAAGATTTCAATTACTAATATTTATGCACCAAATCAGAATGCAGCTCAATTTTTAAGAGAAACTCTAACAGGCATGAGCAACTTCATATCTTCCAGCTCCATAATAGTCAAAGATTTCAACACTCCTTTGGCAGTATTGGATAGGTCTTCCAATAAGAAGCCAAGCAAAGAAATTTTAGATTTAAACTTAACCATCCAACATTTGAATTTAACAGACATCTACAGAACATTTCATCCTAACAAAACTGAATACACATTTTTCTCATCAGCCCATGGAATATACTCCAAAATCAATCACATCTTAGGTCACAAGTCTAACTTCAGCAAACTTAAAAAAATAGAAATTACTCCTTGCAACTTCTCAGACAACCATGGAATAAAAGTCGAACTCAGTAAAACTGGAATCTGAAGACTCATACAAAAAACATGGAAGCTAAATAATCTTATGCTGAATGATAGAATGATAGGTGGGTCAGAGATGAGATCAAGAAGAAAATTACCAAATTCTTGAAACAAAACAATAATGAGTACACTAATTATCAGAACTTCTGAGATACTACTAAGGCAGTCCTAAGAGGGAAATTTATAGCACTGCAAACCTACCTCAAGAAAATGGAATGAGAGGAACTTAACAACTTAATGGGACATCTCAAACAACTGAAAAAGGAAGAATATTCCAATCCCAAATCCAGCAGAAGAAAAGAAATAACCAAAATTAGAGCAGAATTAAATAAAATTGAAAAAAAGAATTATATAACACATCAATATATCAAGAAGTTGGTTTTTTGGAAAAGTCAATAAAATAAATAAACCTTTGGCCAACATAACTAGGAAGAAAAGAGTAAAATTTCTAATTTCATCAATCAGAAATGGTAAAGATGAAATAACAACAGACTTCTCAGAAATTCAAAAAATCCTTAATGAATATTACAAGAAACTTTATTTTCAGAAATATTAAAATCTGAAAGAAATTGACCAATACTTGGAAACATACCACCTTCCAAGACTTAGCCAGAATGAAGTGGACATGTTGAACAGGCCTATATCAAGTTCTGAAACAGCATGAATTATACAAAATCTCCCTAAAAAGAAAATCCTGGGACCAGATGATTTCACATCAGAATTCTACTAAACCTTTAAAGAGGAACTACTACCTATATTACTTAACCTTTTCCAAAATATAGAAAAAGAAGGCATACTACCCAACACATTCTGTGAAGCAAGCATCATCTTGATCCCCAAACCAGGAAAAAACCCAGTAAGAAAAGAAAGTTATAGATCAATATCATGAATGAATATTGATGCAAAAATATTCAACATTCAAATCCTAACAAACAGAATCCAGCAACACATCAAACAAATTATACACCACGACCCAGTGGGTTTTATCTCAGGGTCTCAAGGCTGGTTCAACATATGTAAATCCATAAATATAATTCATCACATAAACAAATTAAAAAACAAAGACCATATGATTCTCTCAATTGATGCAGAAAAAGCTTTTGATAATATCCAGCATCCCTTCATTATCAGAGCACTTAAGAAAACTGGTATAGAAGGGACATTTCTTAAACTGATAGAGGCCATCTACAGCAAACCCACAGCCAATATCGTATTGAATGGAGTTAAATTGAAATCATTTCCACTCAGATCAGGAACAAGAACAAGGCAAGGTTGCCCATTGTCTCCATTGCTCTTTAACATTGTAATGGAAGTTTTAGCCTTCACAATTAGGGAGGAAAAGGTGATCAGGGGTATCCATATAGGGTCAGAAGTGATGAAACTTTCACTCTTCACAGATGATATGATTGTATATCTGGAAAACAGCAGGGATTCTACTGCAAAAGTCTTAGAAGTGATCAAGGAATACAGCAGCATCTCAGGCTACAAAATCAACACTTACAAATCAGTAGCCTTCATATACACCAACAATAGTCAAGCTGAAAAAACAGTCAAGGACTGTATTTCATTCACAGTAGTCCCAATGAAGATGAAATATTTGGGAGTTTACCTAACAAAAGGTGTGAATGATTTCTATAAAGAGAACTATGAAACTGTAAGAAAAGTAATAGCCAAAATTATTAACAAATGGAAAAACATACCACACTCATGGGTGGGAAGAATAAACATTGTTAAAATGTCTATACTACCTAAAACAATATACAATTTTAATGAAATCCCTATTAAAACTCCACTGTCATACTTTTAAGATCTCAAAAAAATAATACTTCATTTTATATGGAATCAGAAAAAACTTTGAATAGCCAAGACATTACTCAGAAATAAAAACAAAGCAGGAGGAATCATGCTACCAGACCTTAGACTATACTATAAATTGATAGTTATTAAAACAGCATGGTACTGGCACAAAACCGAGCAGTAGATACATGGAACAGAATAGAGAACCAAGAGATGAACCCAACTAGTTACTGTTATCTGATCTTTGACAAGCTAATTAAAAATATTCAGTGGCGAAAATATTCCCTATTTAACAAATGGTGCTGGACAAACTGGCTGGCAACCTGTAGAAGATTGAAACTGGATCCACACCTTTCACCATTAACTAAGATAGACTCTCACTAGATTAAAGATTTAAACTTAAGACATGAAACTATAAAAATACTAGGAGAAAGTGTAGGGAAAACACTTGAAGAAATCTCCCTGGGAGAAAGTTTTATAAGGAGGACCCCTCGGGCAATTGAAGCAACATCAAAAATACACTACTGGGATTTGATCAAAATAAAAAAAGCTTCTGCACAACCAAGACCACAGTAAGTAAAGCAAGCAGACAGCTCTAAGAATGGGAGGATATATTTGCAGGTTATGTGTCCAGAAAAGGTTTAATAACCAGAATCCACAGAGAACTCAAGCGTATTAGCAAGAAAAGAACACGTGAACCCATCACAGGGTGGGCAAGGGAGTTGAAGAGAAACTTCTCCAAAGAAGACAGGCGCATGGCCTATAGACAGATGAAAAAATGCTCATTATCCTTAATAATCAAAGAAATGTACATCAAAACTATTTTGAGATATCATCTAACTCCAGTAAGATTAGCCCACATCACAAAATCCCAAAACCAGAGATACTGGTGTGGATGTGGAGAAAGGGGAACACTTCTACACTGCTGGAATGTAAACTAATACGTCCCATTTGGAAAGATGTTTGGAGAACACTTAGAGTACTAAAAATAGACTGCGATTTGATCCTACAATTCCTGTACTAGGTATGCATCCAGAAGACCAAAAATCACATTACAAGAAAGATATTTGTACCAGAATGTTTTTGCAGCCCAATTCATAATTGCTAAATCATGGAAGAAGCCCAAGTGCCCATCAATCCACGAATGGATCAATAAATTGTGGTATATGTATACCATGGAATATTATGCAGCCTTAAAGAAAGATGGAGACTTTACCTCCTTCATGTTTACATGGATGGAGATAGAACATATTTTTCTTAGCAAAGTATCTCAAGAATGGAAGAAAAATTCCTGACCCGGTGGGTCCTGATGGGTCTGGGGTCCCAGGGGCCATGCAGAGCCTGGAGGCCAGGCCAGGCTGTGGGGGCAGCCTCTGTGGAGGCTCTGAACTCGTCCATGAACTGGTATCTGTCATATCCTTGTTCTCTAGGATACAATCTCGAGATGGTTAGAGAATCATTGGCTACAGTTCCTACCCATGCTCTGCATTTCCTGAGCTGTTAATCACCTTCCTTGCTGTCTTCATTGGCACATGGTTTGGAAAAGGGAAGGAAGTGTTTCTTTAGTGGGCAAAGCTTCGACTCTCCTTAAAAGAGACAAATCTTGCAAAAATTTCTCTCTATCCATCTTTTGAAGACTTGAAGGTAGATAAAGTAATTCAGGTTCAGACTGCCTTTTCTGCAAATCCTGCCAACCCAGCAATTTTCTCAGAAGCTTCTGCTCCTGTCTCTCAAGATGGAAATCTCTATCCTAAACTGTATCCAGAGCTCTCTCAGAACATGGGTGTGAGTTTAAATGAAGAAGAAATACGTGAAAATATGGCCATGGTCCCTGGAGCATCAGTTCAGGGGCAATTGTTAGCAAAGCCTTCCAGTATGAGTTATATGGTAGCTCCTATAACTGGTAATGATGTTGGAATTTGTAGAGCAGAAATTAAGCAAAGGATTCATGAAGTCATTTTTGTGTAAGCATCAAGATGGAAAAATTAGACTCAGGCTTAAATTGATAGATAATGGTATATTTTGTTCAGCTGATCCAGGCTAATTCTCCATCCTCTTTGGTTGGTCTGAGAGTTGAGGACCAGGTACTCCAGATCATTGGTGAAAACTGTGCTGGCTGGAGCTCTGATAAAGCACACTATGTGCTCAAACAGGCTTTTGGAGAGAAGATTATTATGACCATTTGTGACAGGCCCTTTGAACGGACAATCACCATGCACAAAGATAGCAGTGGACATGTTGGCTTTATCTTTAAAAATGGAAAAATAACATCCATAGTCAAAGATAGTTCTGCAGCCAGAAATGGCCCTCTCACGGAACACAACATCTGTGAAATAAATGGGCAGAATGTCATTGTTTTGAAGGACTCTCAAATTGCAGACATACTGTCAACAGCTGGAACTTTAGTTACCATTATAATCATGCCTGCTTTTATCTTTGAACATATCATTAAATGGATGGCGCCAAGCATTATGAAAAGCCTGATGGACCACACCATTCCTGAAGTTTAAAAGTCATGGCACAACAAAAATGTAGCAGATCTTTTCCAGTTTCCTTCTTTGGCAACTTCCATATTATGCATATGAAGCTTTCCCAGAGCCAGTGAGCACATGCTGCATGAGGACCTTCTGTTTCATAGGATGGCTGGGAATCCAACCATCTCATCTGATAACTGTTCAGATTTCAAGATAGTTGCAGCCTTACCCTGGTTTTACAGATGTGAAACATTCAAGAGATTTTCTGACTTTCCTAGCATAGTTTCTCTACTGGAAAAACCTGATGCTTTTACAAGCCATTGTGGTTAGGATGACTGATATAGACTTAGCTTTGTGCGAGAAACAGTCACCTCCTACGTCTTGAGTAGTGCTATTCATATTACTTTAGTTCTACAGGGTGTTTGCATTTTTAACATGTAACCAAGTACATTTAGAATGATTGCCTTTGATAGTGTTTCTTTTTTTTTTAGTTCTGTTTGTAAGTGTATGTAAAATACCAAGTAAGAACACTGGTTTCATTCCATATTAGCATTATACAGGCATGTGTAGGTTGCAAGAGATTGTGATGATTGTCATTAAATTTTAACTACCTTCACTTACTATGTTTGAACTTTCACCTTAACTATGATAAGCATCTAGACTAAATGCCAAAATGTAATTATTGCTGCCTTTCTAAAACCTACCATGTAGTTCTGTCTTAAACCGAAATGTACACCAACCCAGAATATGGAATGGTATTTACTGAGCTACTGTAGCATAGCTGCTTAGTTGCATTTGAGATTTTCTAGTCAATGCATAATGGAAACAAAGATTCTTTCTTATAAAAGTTGCCAGTATCAGGCAGCACCTGTGGCTCAAAGGAGTAGGGTGCTGGCCCCATATGCCGGAGGTAGTGGGTTCAAACCCAGCCCTGGCGAAAAACTGCAAAAAAAAAAAAAAAAGTTGCCAGTATCAATTTCTGAGAAATGAATTGCTATATTTAATGTAAAAATTCTTATACTAAACAGGATGAATTTTTGAGTCCTGTTTTTCATTTGTAGATTAAGTGGGATAGTACTTAATTTTGGCATTGAATCTTAACATTATGTAATCTAGCAACTTTGGGATTGTCTTTGAATGTTTTCCTGGTAATCTGCTCCATTCCTGTCTCCTCCCTGTAAACAAAATGGCAGTGTGATACTTTATTCTGATTGTTTTCTTCTTTTTGGTTTATGTCTATTCTATTTTAATTAAATATGTATAAGTAAAAAAAAAGAATGGAAGAAAAAGTATCCAATGTACTTAGCCCTACTATGTAACTAATTTATAGCTTTCATATGAAAGCTATATCCCAATTATAGCCCAAGAATATGGGGAAGGGGGAGAGGGAGGGGAGGGGGAAGGATGGGTAAAGGAAGGGTGATTGGTGGGACCACAACTATGGTCCATCTTACAAGAGTACATGTGAATCTTTCTAAATGTAGAATATAAATGTCTTAACACAGTAACAAAGAAAATGCCATGAAGGCTATGTTAACCAATTTGGTGAAAATATTTCGAATTGTATATAAAACTAGCACATTGTACCCCATGATTGCATTAATATACACAGCTATGATTTAATTAAAAAAAAGAAAACATAAATAAAATTGATAAACATTTGGCTAGACTATCCAGAAACAGAGAAGTAAAATCTCTAATAGTGTCAATCAGAAAAGAGAAAAGAGAAAAATGAACAGACAGCACAGAAATTTAAAAAATTCTCAATGATTACTACAAAAACTCTATTCTCAGAAATATAATAATCTGGAGGAAATGGACCAACACCTATAAGCTTGCCACCTTCCTACACTCAATTAGAAATAATTATAAATTTTGAGTAGACCTATATGAAGCACTGAAATAGGATCAACTATATGAAATTTCCCAAAACACAAAAGTATGGGACCAGATGATTTCATGTCAGAATTCTACCAAACCTTCAAAGACGAACTAGTACCTATATTACACAACCTTTTCTAAAACATAGAAAAGGAAGGAATCCTCCCCCAACACATTCTATGAAGCAAATATCACCTTAATCCCCAAGCCAGGAAAAGACCCAACAGAGAAAAAAACCATAGACCAATATCATTAATGAATATAGATGCAAAAATATTGAATAAGATTCTAGCAAACAGAATTCAATGACACATAAATAAAATTATACACCACAATCAATTTGGTTTTATCCCAGGGTTACAAGATTGGTTCAAAATACAGAAAGCTATAATTATAATACACCACATAAATAAAATAAAAAAGAAAGACCATATGATTCTAACAATCCAACACAGAAAAAGCTTTTGATAATATCCAGCATCCTTTCATGATTAGAACAGGTAAGAATATAGGCTTAAATAGGACATTTCTTAAACTGATGGAGGCCATCTATAGCAAACCCATAGACAATATCATATCGAATAGAGTAAAATTGAAAACATTTCCACTAAGATCTGGAACTAGACAAGGATGCCCATTGTCACCACTGCTACTCAACATAGTTGAACTAGAAGGTTTAGCCATCACTATTAGGCAAGAAAAGGGGTTCAAGGGTATTAAAGTGGGGTCAGAGGAGGTCAAACTGTCACTCTTCACATATGACATGATGTTATACCTGGAAAACCCCAGGGACTAAAGTACAAAGCTCATAGAAGTAATCAAACAATAGAGCAGTGTCTCAGGATACAAAGTTAATACTTACAAATCAGTAGCCCTTATATATACCAGCAATAGTGGACCAAAAAGATAGTCAAGGACTATTTCTTTCATAGTAGTGTCAAAGAAGATGAAATCTAACAAAGGATGTGAAAAATCTATATAAAGAGAATTATGAAAGCCTGAGACAAGAAATAGCAGAAGATGTAAACAAATGGAAAAACATACCATGCTCATGGCTGCGAAGAATCAACATTGTTAAAATGTCCATACAACCCCAAACAATCTACAGATTTAATGCAATCTCTATCAAAGCACCAATGTCTTACTTAAAAAACCTTGACAAAATAGTACTTCATTTTACATAGAATCAGGAAAAAAACAGACCGAATAGCCAATACACTACTTAGAAATAAAAATGAAACTGAAGGCATCACACTACCTGGCCTCAGGTTATACCACAAATATATAGTGATCAAAACACGATGGCACTGGCTTAAAAATAGAGATGTAGACAATATGGAATAGAGAATTTAGAGATGAACCCAGCCACATATAGTTATTTAATATTTGACAAGCCTAACAAAAACATACACTGGGGAAAAGAATCCCTATTTAAAAATGGTGCTGAGAGAACTGGCTAGCAAACTGTAGAGGCCTGAAACTGGACCCATACCTCTCAAAACTAACAAACATTGATTTAAATTTAAGACATGAAACTATAAAAATACTAGAAGAGTGTACAGGAAAATGCTTGATGATGTTGGCCTGGAAACATATTTTATCAGGAAGACTCCCCTGGCAATTGAAGCAGCACCAAAAATATATTACTGGGATTTGATCAAGCTACAAAGCTTCTGTGCAGCTAAGGGCACTACAACAAAGGTAAACAGATAACCTTCTGAATGGGAGAAGAATGTTGCATGTTATGATGCCAACAAAGTTCTGATAACTAGAATCTACAGAGAACTCAAATTAATAATCAAAGATCAAACAACTTAATTTATTTATGGGCAAGAGACTTGAACAGAAACTTCTCTGAAGATGATAGGTTAATGATCAACAAACACATTAAAAAGGTCATTGTCTTTAATCGTCAGAGAAATACAAATCAAAACCACTTTGAGATATCACCTAACTACAATAAGATTAGCCCACATCACAAAGTCCCCAAACTGCATATGTTGGCATGGATACAGAGAGAAGGGAACACTTCTACACTGTTGGTGGGAGGGCAAAGTAATCTAGCCTTTTTGGAAAGAAGTATGGAGAATGCTCAAGGATCTAAAAGTTGACCTTACATCTGATTGATCCTACAATTCCATTACTAGGTATCTACCCAGAAGATCAAAAACCATTTTACAACAAAGATATTTGCACCAGAATGTTTATTGCAGCCCAATTCCTAATTCCTGTGTCATGGAAGTAGCCCAAATGCCCATCAATTCATTAATGGATTAAAAAAACTGTGGTATATGTATACCATGGAATACTATTCAGCCATAAAAGAAGATGGAGACTTTACATCAGTTATGTTTACCTGGTTGGAGTTGAAAGACATCCTTCTTAGTAAAATATCACAAGAATGGAAAAGTAAGTATCCAATGTACTCAATATTATTATGAACCCAATATGAAAACATATTCTCTTATGAATGATAAAACACAAATATAGTCTAACGAGAGAGAACGAGGGAGGAGAGAGGGGAAAGATGAAGGTGTTTGGTCGGAGGAGGGAGAGCATTTGGCAAGATCTCAACTGCTGTGCACAATGCATGGGTCTATTTCTAAATAACTAAGAGTAAACTGTGAATGTCTTAACACACACAAAAAAGTGAAGTGATGGTTATATTAATCAGTTTGATTTAAGCATTCCATATTGTTTATCAAATCATCACATTGTACCCCGTAAATGTATACAGTTATCATTTAATAAAAATATTTTTAAAAGAAAAAAAAAAGAGTCCAGAGTAGATTGGTCAATTATATGGTGATCACTAAAAATGTTTTAACTTCTACTGGATACATGTAGCATAGCATTAGAATTGAAATCTTTGAAATGTTGTAGTACTTGGAACTTTGTGTGGTGCGTATTCCTACAACCACTCTGTCATCTATTCAATCATAACTCTCCATATACCTTCCACTTCAGTTTACGTCCCATTTTCTTTTCTTTCCTTATTAGAGATGATTAGCTATCTGCACTCCTCCCTGTTCTCCTTTTGTCTCACCCTAAACAAGTTAAAAACCTTTTCAATTAAAGAATGATTTTCACTCTAAAAACCCACCCACTCACCTTCTTTCTCTATACCACAACGTACTCTTGTCCATGATGAAAGATACAAATAACTTAAACCTATCTCCAACCCTTGCTGTTTGTCATTCTCTTTGTATAGTTTTCTTTCTATACCCTTAATTCCTTATTGAGGATGTATGGAATATACTAGTTTTTCCACTACATAATCAAGAAACTATATGCACCAATTGTATGAAATATCCCTGTCTTCATCTGGCTCTCCACACATAAAGGC